TACGGAGGTAAAATGAAGGAGGCCTGTTGAGAGCCACAGCCGAAGGGGCCCCAGCAAACTTCCAGCTGCCAGCAAACTTCCAGCTGGCAGTTGATGATTGGCTCACAGCGGCCCCAGCAAACTTCTAGCTGCCAACTGATTGGCTCCTCTGCGGTGATGCTCATTGGGCTGTTTCCCCGCTCTTTCAGTCCACAGAATTGCTTATTGGGGGACTTTTTTTGGCTCTGCCCACGTGACCCAGCCAATCGGCCTCAAGAGCAGGAGTGGGGGAGGTGGAGAGGCTTGTGGGAAGCCGGTGGTGGCAGTTGGGCTCTGAAAGTTTTTCCTGAGGAGCTGTTTTGTTTGGCATGTGTGGTTCTAAAAATAAAGTTCCTTTTTTTTGACAAGTGGCTCCTGAATTGTGCCTAGCCAGTCTGCGGATAGGGAGGTAAAATGAAGGAGGCCTAGTGTAGAGGCTGATGCAGTACATCTTTGAGAAGTTACAAAGGAACTTCAGAAACATGAATGGCAGTATACCAAGCCTCCACATCCTTCAAGTAGAATCAGGAGCTGTTACCAATCGGGAAACTAAAGCCATTTTTTATTGGCACATTTGATTAAATAATTGGATGCAGAGTGAACTCAGTCTTCAGGCCTTCACCCTTCCCCCCAGGGCAGTTTGACTCCAAATTCCAACCCTCTAATCACACAGTCTATCTGTGGACTAGCCTCCATCCTGAAGCTGTCTGGGAGTCCAGTAGAGTAACCATTAATGTAAAAGACTCTGTCACTGGAAATTGCAAAGATTTTTGAAACTCTGCCAGGAACAGGGGGACCAAGACTAGATGTATTCTTTATTATGCTAAAGGTTCTAAAAAGTTTATTAAAATTACACCCAAGCCTGTAATTCCAGCAACTTGGGAGGCTGAGGCAGGAGGATTGCGAGTTTAAAGCCAACCTCAGCAAAAGCAAGGTCCTAAGCAACTCAGTGAGACCCTGTCTCTAAATAAAATACAAAATAGAGCTGGGGATGTGGCTCAGTGATCTAGTTCAATCCCCAGTACCAAAAAAAAAAAAGTTTATTAAAATCATTAACAGGAAGATTTTTTAAAATTATGACTTTAATTAGTGAGTGCCTGTTTTTATTTATTTATTTTATTTTTTTAATCTTTTTTTTTTAAAGAGAGAGAGAAAATTTTTTTTTAATATTTATTTTTTAGTTATTGGCGGACACAACATCTTTGTTTGTATGTGGTGCTGAGGATTGTACCCAGGCCGCACACATGCCAGGCGAGCGCGCTACCACTTAAGCCACATCCCCAGCCCCTGAGTGCCTGTTTTTAAATTTAGCACCTTACCTATATCTGAGCCATCTTTTTTTACATTTATAATTCTTGGGTTTTCTGAAATTTCATCCATCACTTCTGTAATTTCTCTTTTGTATTAAAGTGAAGATTTCTTAGAAATACTGGTTTTCACAAGATTAAAGTACATTAATTTATGTAATAATTTTACTCTGAAGATTATTCAGATTGCAGAAAAATACAAAAATGTTTAAATATTTTATGTTTAAAGAAAATTATTTCCAATTTTTAGCCTATTGAAATAAGTGAATTGGAAAACACCTGATTCTTGGCATACCTTGTGATCCAGGAACAATAGATACTTCAACGCCCCCTGCTGACCATTTTATTGATAACTATGGTGATAGTGGAAATTTTAATTTTGAAAATACGTTTCACCACAGCCAAAAGGGAAATAGGTAGTTTAGTATTATTCTCATATGAGCAGTATGATCTCTTGTGATTTTTAGGTTGAAGATCAGAGTAACTGCCTAATGATTAAAAAACACCTCAGTTTATATCCAAGGTGTTTTTTTTTTAATTTTTAATTTTCCACATATTTTTATTGGTGCATTATAGTTTTACATAATGTGGGATTTGTTGATACATATTCATACTTGCACACAATATAACAATATAATTTGGCCAGTATCAGTCCCCAGCACTTCCTCCTTCCCCTCCCTGCTTCCCACCCTTTGGTCCATTTCTTCTACTGATCTCCATTTGAGTTGTTTGGTTTTTTTTTTTTTGTTTGTTTGTTTTTAGTTGTCAATGGGCCTTTATTTTGTTTATTTACTTGCGGTGCTGAGAATTGAACCCAGTGCCTCACACATGCTAGGCAAGCACTCTACCACTGAGCCACAACCCCAGACCTCCCTTTGATTTTTAGGAGATCTGAAGTATTTTATTAATCTGTGGAGATAAACACCAACCTTAGGAAACATTTTCATTAAGAATTTATGCTTGGGCTGGGGATGTGGCTCAAGTGGTAGCGCGCTCGCCTGGCATGCATGCTGCCCGGGGTTCAATCCTCAGCACCACATACAAACAAAGATGTTGTGTCCGCCGAAAACTAAAAAATAAATATTAAAAAATAATTCTCTCTCTCTCTTAAAAAAAAAAGAATTTATGCTTTCCATTTATATATTTTGTAAATATGACTATTATGCAATAATACCTCATATAATGTTATAGCATCTTAGGTGTAGGAATATAGATATATATTCATATATATCCCATCATGGAGACACCACTCTCATCTAAACCTATCTCCCATAGACCTATCTCCAAATACTATTACATTGGGGAGATAGGACTTCAACATATGAATTGGGGCTGGGGGACTTGATTCAGTTCATAGCAACATTGTATCATAGCATCTTAGTGTAATATTCTTTTACCTATATTAGGACTATGTTTTAAATCTGAAACTGCCATGTATTCTGGCTTGATACTGTCGGAGTCATCTTCAGTGATCTCTCCAGCTGTAGTTTCTAATGAACTGTTTTCCCTCTGAGAGGACACTAAATGTGATTGTTTGCTTTCTATAATTTAGTTTGTTTGGTTTTGGTACCTGGAATTAAACCCAGGGGCTCTTAACCACTGAGCCATATCCCCAGCCCTTTTTAATATTTTATTTAAAGACAGAGTCACGATAAGTTGCTTAGGGCCTCACTAAGTTGCTGTGACTGGCTTTGAACTTGTAGTCCTCCTGCCTCAGCCTCCAGAGCTGCTGGATGCTGGGATTACAGGCATGGCCACTGTGCCCGGCTCTATGATTTAGATTCCCCACCTTTATACGTGACATGTAACTAATGTGGTTATCTTCACCTGCATCCCTAGCAATGACGGTACAAACATAATGCCACTACTATTGCATACTTTATCTCTAGACCCCTTATATTTCAATTTTTATAGAGGCAACTGTATAATTCTGTAGTGGCACCTCCTTTCTCCACAGAAAAATCTTAACTGGGTTTCTCCAGAGATCTTCACCATTTTAGGATTGTCAGCAAAAGAGTCTCTACAAAATAGTTCAATGTAGATAAACTTTCTCTTTTCATGTTGACCTGTTTTACTTAGCTATTGGCCAGGAAGAAATCAGCACTCCAGGTGCTGAACACCCCCTTACTAGTTTTTCAGAAACCTGTATCCAGCATAGTAGTTTGTAGAAATGTGTAAACAAGGCCTCTGGCCTTGAGCTGGGGCTTCACAGAGATGTCTGCATTTCTAAGATAAGAGAAGTTACAATTGGGCTCTGTGGTAACAGCTGGCAGGGGGGAGGAAAGAAAGGGGAGAGGATTGTCTTTGAAGGGTTAATGTGCCCAGAACAGTGAAAGAAAAAGATGCTTTTATGTGAACTTCTGCAGACTGGGAACTTCTGAGCCCCTCCCCTTACATGCTGGGTATAAAATTCTGAAACTACCTGAACTTGGGGTTCAGGGGATTGATTACAGCGAAAGCTTTGCCCTCTGAACCTGGCTGCAGCCAAATAAAACTGTTTCCTGCTATCTTTGGTGCCTTGCCTGTCTGTCCCCATAACAATTCTCTAACATACTATTTCCGTTCTTATTCACCAGTGAACTATGACCACTCTTGTTCAATTAATTCTCTGTCATACCTCTCTCTCTTCCCTAGACACACATTCACACTCCTAGAATTAGGACTGCATCGTTGAAGCCAGATCATAAATCTATAGAAACAAGATTAGTAGAGGTGTTTTGGCTAGGGGAGGTGTTTTTAAGTATATTTATTTATTTTGTTTGGTACTGGGTTTTTTGTTTTGTTTTGCGTTTGGTACAGGAGCACTCTGTCACTGAGCTACATCCCCAGCCCTTTTCATTTTGAGACAGGATCTCACTAAGTTGGTGCATCTGGCTTTAAACTTGTGATCCTTCTGTCTCAGCTTCCTGAATACCTGGGATTACAGACATCTACCATCACCATGCCTGGCTGTTAGTAAGTCTCTTCAAGGACATCTCGTCCAGTCCTCCCATTTTAAGCTTCTATCTAGAGATAGTTTCCTCAAGGTTCCACAGCAACTAAGTTAGAACTTGGATTTCCTGTTTCTTGGTCTAGAACTCATTCAGTTTATTTCATGCTATCCTGGCTCTGTGAAAATATTTTGTATTTCCATCTTTTGTTTTAAACTTATTTTAAAGAACTTTATGATGTGTCCCAGAAGAACTTACCCTTTTGGGGGGCTGTGCGGGATTGAACTCAGGGGCTCTCAACCACTGATCTATGTCCTTGGCCCTATTTTGTATTTTTTATTGAGAGACAGGGTCTCACTGAGTTGCTTAGTGCCTCACCAAGGCTGAGGCTGGCTTTGAACTTGTGATCCTCCCAACTCAGCCTTCCATGCCCCTGGGATTATAGGCAGGTGCCACCATGCCCGGCTAGAACTTACCCTTTTGTAAGACATTCTTAAAGATTTTGTTTTTTTCTAAGTTCTTTAGCGTTCTTTCATACCTGGGATTACAGTCATGTACCACCGTGCCTGGCTGTTATATTTTTACCACAATTGGTATGAAAACTTGCTTTAACTTGAGGGGTTGCATTTATTAAAATTTGCTTTATTAAGATTAAATGTATGGTTCAGTGCTAGAGCAGTTGCCTAGCATGCACAAGGCCCTGAGTTCATCCCCAGTATTGGGGGGAAATAAAGAAAAATCCTACCTATCTGGTCTTCTTCCATTTTTACATCAGTACTTTCTGTGACTTGTTCTCCATCTTGAAGTTCTTGTGATTTTTCTGTCTTGTGTCCCAGAATAGCATCCAACTCGGTAAAAAATTTCATATTCCTAGTCGTGCCTAGGTCCTGAGCTGTTCTTACAATCTTGTATTCGTGTTTCAGGTTTTTGTACTTTGTTCGGCACTGCTTCCAGTCTCTCTCTATTCCAGATTTCTGAAGCTTGGAAGCAATTAGTTCAAATATCCTTTTGTTTCTCACTGTTCCCTCTAGTTGTTGTTGGATGCTTTTATCTGACCAGATGCCTATTAAAGCCCTGACTTCTGGCATAGTCCAGTGTTTTCCTCCTTCATTTGCAACAGTTGGGATAAAAGGTGAATTATTAGGAGAATCCATTATTGATGTAGAGATACCTGCATCAGATGTGAAGAAATAAGAATCATGGATTACATACATCAAACAAGGTAAATAATTGGATACAACATTATGGAAGACATTTTCTCCATAGGAGACAGAATAACAAATTATAGGTTAACTTTTTTTTTTTTTTTTAGAATTTTTTTTTTTAATATTTATATTTTAGTTCTTGGCGGACACAACATCTTTGTTGGTATGTGGTGCTGAGGATCGAACCCGGGCCGCACGCATGCCAGGCGAGCACGCTACTGCTTGAGCCACATCCCCAGCCCAATAGGTTAACTTTTGCTTACACTAATGGGTAAATGGAAGTACAGAACTTGAATCTGTTCATTATCATGACAAAGACTGGCTTAAACAAGGGTAGGTCTTCAGTCACATTTTGATCATTGTTCTTCTATAAAGGTTCTTTCCCACTTGTTCACATATGGGCTATTTATCAGTATATAGCTAAAGTTGAACACATTATATTTATTAAGAAAGCAATATGATTACATAAGAAAATGACTTTAATTTTTGTTTTGCTATAGGACAGGTTTGAATAATTCCTTTTCTAGGGGGGGGTTAAAAACTGCTACTCAAGTGCTTCCCTCATCTTTCTTCTCAAGATTGGGATTTTCATGTGCATTGGCTGGGAAGAACCACACACAATCAGTATTTACTCCTTTGGAAATTAGAGGAAGATCAAATGACATTTTAAGTAAAATGCTACCTTCTTTTATTGGTAGAAATTCTTTAATATCCCATGGTGCTTTCACATTAGGTTCCTAAATTAGTTTTACAATTCACTTTATATAAATGACATCAATTAATGTTATAGTTGGCATCATATTGGTTATTTTAACAACCATATTGTTTTTCTCAGATTTTGTGTTCAGGTTTAAATAAGTTGTAAATGATTAGAAAACACCATATAGCTGGGCATGGTGGTGTACATCTGTAATCACAGTGGCTTAGGAGCCTGTGGATTGCAAGTTCAAATGCAGCCTCGGCAACTTAGTGAGGCCCTAAGCAATTTAGTGAGACCCTGGTTCAAAATAAAATATAAAAAATGAGCTGGGCATGTGGCTCAGTGGTTAAGTGCCCCTGAGTTAAATCCTCAGTGCCAAAAGAGAAAAAATAAAAACAAAAACCGTATAGAATTTACTTGCAATAGATAGTAGTTTTTATTTTGTGGTATATTTAATATCACTATTTTGAAATGCTTTTCAGTTATTTTTTTCTTTATTTGAATTAGAAATAAAGTGTTATTATTTGGGTTAGAAATGAGTTTTTTGCTTCTACCTTCAATAATACATTGGAAGCAAAGAGTGGATTGACATTGGATTTAATTAAGAATCCTTGATCTCGTGTACTTAATATTACTTATTTTCAGATGTGAAGTTTTGTTTGTCTTTTACCCCCAGAATACCAAATGTCAAAGCAATTATGTTCATTACTATAAATTTAGCCATTGTAGTTCTTATAAAATTAAAGAATAAAAGTTAGAAATTGGAGTAAGTATTTCTATAAAACTTTTTGTTAAGGAAATAATTTTCTTTCAAAAATGACTTTTCAGCCTAAGCTTGTACAGGAGAAAAAACAAATTACTCAGAAGTGTTTCTGTCAGGAAATACTGTCCATGTTCTCAGATTAGAAGCAGTCTTTCCAATTTGAAATTAGATCAGTTTCATAACGTTTTTGGCCCTTCATACTATACCTAGTTCCATTGGTCTGACATGAGAAACCAAAAGCAAAGGATTTCCTGAGATATCTTCTTTATCTTCTAATGGAACTGACATTTTGCCTGGAAGGAGAACAGAATTCCTTTTAGAAATAAGTACTAAGGGAAAAAAGTTGAATTAACATAACTGGTAAAGCTAGTTGCTAAAGCTGAATTTATCCATGAAAATGGATTTGTGATGGACATATTTTATAATAAAATGGTATAATATGGCTCAATAAAATGGCATAATATGGCTTAAATAATTATCCCATTTACTTGGTTTATTTTGAACTATTAAAATTGTTTGAATTTGTAAATTTCCAAGGAGTATTGTGATTAATTTTCATTTGGGTTAAATTAACCCCAGCTGTTTGGGAGGCTGAGGCAGGAGGATTGAAAGACTGAGGCCAGCCTAGGAAACTTAGAGAGACCTATCTCAAAATAAAAAAATAATGTCTGAGGATAAAGAAAGCTCAGTGGTTGAGGGCCTCTGGATTCAATCCCCAGTACTACATCAATAAATAAGCAAACAACTAAATAAGATGTGTTTTATTTATGTTTGTTTCTTAGGTGCTTTAACACAGTAGGGACTTTTATAAATGCTACTGGTAATGTACAAGAGGAATATACAATGAGAAATATAATCAGAAAATGTTTTACTGGCACATAGGGCCAAACAGCTTAAGAATTTTTGTGTATTATATAATTAATTGACATACTAAACATTTCAGAAATTTATCAGAATTACTTAAATGTGGTAAGAGATGTATTATTTAAAAGAACCATGCCAGACCTTTTTTTTTTTTTAATATTTTCTTAGTTGTCAATGGACCTTTATTTTATTTATTTATATGTGGTGCTGAGAATCAAACCCACTGCTTCACACATGCCAGGCAAGCACTCTACCACTGAGCCACCACCCCAGCCCCCCCATGCCAGACTTAAAAGAATGAAATCCTTCCTTGAGCTCTTTGTTTTATGGTTTGGTGGTTTCTATGCTTGCTTTCATAGAGGAGGCAAAGGCTACTTCCTAAAATAATCAGGTAAGGAGGATAATTCGTGTCTGTGGTTCTGGGAATTGAACCCAGGTCCTCACACATGCCAGGCAAGTGCTCTGTCACTCATCTACAACCCCAGTCTCAGGAGGATGATTTTTTTTTAATTAATTGATTTAATCTAATTTGTTATATATGACAGCAGAATGCATTTTAATTCATATTACACATAGGAGGATGCTTTTTTTAAGGGAAAAAAATAAATCTTTGAAAGGAACCCAACAATGACAATGAAGTTGCCAGCTAACCAGGAAGGGTTGAGTATATTTTGATTGCTCTTTGTAATTTTTTTAAATTAAAGATTTATTCATCTTATAAATTATCATTCCCAAATGCTTTTCTAATTCTGTTTGCCAGGTAATAGAAATAGTATTGTATTTTATTTAGGTGTGATTTGATTGACATAAACATCCACTTAAAATCATGATTCATGGGGCTGGGGTTGTGGCTCTGCGGTAGAGCACTTGCCTTGCTTGTGTTGGGTGCCAGGTTCAATCCTCAGCACCACGTAAAAATAAAAATAAAGGTACTGTGTCCATCTATAACTAAAAACCAAAATAGTTCTTAAAAATTATGATTCACGACTATATTTAGAGACATTGTCATTGAAAAAAATGTGTTTATCATATTTAAAAGTCTGTTGGTTCCCATGTTAAAATAGGGAAACAATTAAATATGGAAAGTTAAATAAATATAGAAGTACAAAGCACCACTGTTATCAAATAACACAATCGTGTTTTTTAACTTTCAAAGTAAAAATTGCCAATTTTAAGTCAAGTTTTACAGTTTATTGAGGATAAAGGAATTAATAAGGTATGTCTTAGATTTAGTTGAATATAGAAAATAAGAATTTGGGGTTACATAAGAATTTTTTAGAGTAACATGGGGAAGATATTGGTACACTCGGGTCATTTATCCTGAGCTAATGACAGTAAGCAGAGAATGTGGTTTTCTGCTCTGTTCTCTGGTTTTCTATCCATAGAATGGAATCTGGGGCTAGCGTACAGGTAGGCTTCCCAACTTCTTCAGGAATTTTTTTTCTTAAGTTGGTCATTTATAGTGTGAATCCTGAAATGATACTCAGAGGCCCTGTGCCTGGAAGTTTTAAACTGAATCCTTAAGTCATTGCTTCTGATGCTTTTCATATAAAGAGGAGACCGAGGGGAATCTGGGTCACTGAAGGAATGTGGTTTGGCAGCAGTGGACCTAAGGTATTATCAGGTTGATTTAGTTACCAGAAGACATGAAGACTTTCTAAGAACCCAGTTGTATGAACAAGGAATTTTCAAGTGAAAACAAATGTATAGAAAAATGGTTATAACAATACTCTGTGTGATATGATAAAGTTATAGATAATGAGAGTGGATGAGAGAAAATTTTTATAGAACATATCAGTAGACTTTTTATGAATAATTGTTGGCCAAAAGTCAAGGATATCTCAGACATTTCTATGGAAGTCTAAAGTGGAAGCAATTTGTAGGAGGATCGATTTTCAATGAGTATAGAGGAGTTTGATTTTAGAATTCAGGGTTTAAGGTACTTTATACAGACATGATTAGGTTGTATAATATAGGCCCACTGCTTATGAATGGGACTAAGAAATTTGAAGCCAGAAGGGTACCTGAAAGGGTTAGAAGATAATCGCTTTAAGAAGCAAAGATATTAGCACCTACATCTTCTAAACCAACACATCTGGTGGAAGATTTTGAGAAGTGATTAAAGAGTCCTGAATGATTAAAAGAAAAAAATATTATAACTGCTGTTTATAATGACTACAGAGCATTCTCAACATTTGGCATAATGTTAGAGATGCAAAGGGTTTTTATAAGTGGGATAGATTGTTTCTTAGTCAAATGATTACTGAGCTATAAACATGAAATTCAGCCAACCCAAGTTAACTCAGCCATAATGGCTGTCCTCAACGCCCTTTGCATTTGGAACCTTTAGTGTACTGCTTGCCATTTTCTCTAGGGTGTTACATTTATTCTTGGTTCCTCCTTTTGGAGGTTTAATAGCATTCATTGTATGTTCTTTGTACATGGGTCACACGACAGTGAGGGTTACAGGTACTTGAACAACTCTGCTCTTTAAAAAAAATAGTAATATTTAAAAATATTTAGCCATGGAAAAAAAATCTCATTACTGTCACTCTGCCTGCCTAGTGACGCTTGTGGCTTCCAGAGACAATGAGCAAATCTTAACTAGTGCTGGGCTTAACAACGCAGCAGGTCAAGGACCTTGTTTAATATCTTCAAAATCTTCAGTCATGCCTATATGCCGAAAATCCCACTGAGGCAGGAAGATCACAAATTCAAGGCCAGCCTCGGCAATTTAGCAAGACCTTTTCTCCAAAAAAAAAAAAAAAGGCTGGGGGTGTGGTTCAGTGGTAAAGTGCCCCTGAGCTCAATTCCTAGAACCCCAATAAATATATACATACAGAAATAAATGAATCAAAATCTTCACTTATTTATTGAATCTATTTTTGTCTTTGTTTAATTATTAAATCTATATTTGTCTTTGTTGTAAAATGAAGCTCTGCCAGACAAGTCATAAAAAGTGTTTATCAACTCTATTTTAATGCTTTTATTTATTAATTTAAGAAAATGGAAACATTAAAATAGAGAAGAAAGTTCTGTCTTGTGGAAAAGCAAGTTGAACAGTATTTTTGGTATTCTCTTTTTTGCCACTCTTATCAAAATCAAACCTAAAATATTTTTAGAATCCAATCCATATTTCAGAAACACATCATACATACATTTGGCACTAGCAGTTAAGGCCATTTCAGTGTGTTTTTTCTGTATTTTAACAGTTGTCAAAGTGGTATTTAACTTCTTTTTTTAAAAAAAATTCTTACCATGTGTAAAATAGTGTAAGATGCAATTTTTTTTTTTTCAACCTTGATATTTTAGCTGTATTTTCATTTGGACTCAGAAGTGTCCTGTATTTAAAGTTTGTGAAACTGTAATATGAAGAGAAACAAACAAACAAAAAAAAATAGGTTTTTTGTTTTTTGTTTTTTTCTTTTTACCTTCAGTGGTCTCTGGGGCTGTGCTTGGGCTCATCGTTGCCAGGTGCCTGCTGTTAGCATCCTCCTCTGTTAATTGTGTGGCAGGTTCATTCTGCAGGATTACGTCCAAGTCGTGGAAGAACTTCATAGTTTTAGAGCTGTCTCCAGAGTTGTGGGCATACTTCACAGTTCTGTATTCATATTTGAGATTCTTATACTTTGCCTGGCATTGTTTCCAGTCTCTGTGTACTCCTAGTGATTGCAGCCTTTTAGCAATGTAAATAAATATTCCTTTATTTCTCAGTGTGCCATAAAGTTGTTTTCGTATATTTTTTTCTGCCCAGACACTTAGCAAAGCTTTAACCTCCTCGTCAGTCCAGTGCTTCCCAGCTCCACTCTCCATGTTGAAAGTGACCTGGAAATGATTCACTACTTGTAGCCACCAGTTTTGTTTCCTAGGAAACCAGACGGCTACCGGCTGGTTGTCAGTGAAAGCATCTAGTTTAACTGGTTCAAGCTGCCTGAGGGAGTAACTGAAGGAACTGCCAAATATGCAGGGCAAGCTTTGTGATTAAAGAAACCTGAACCTAAATGATTGCTAACCTTTTTTTCATTCAGCTTTAAGGAAAAATTACCCTTGAGACAAAAGGGAAAGAGACTATTTTTGTGTGTATTTCTTATGATTTACTGTTCTGCCAAATGATTGTGGATTTTTAAAAATTGGAAATGGTTGGCAGAGCTGTTTTTCAGAGGTTTATAGCTAATGTTAATGTAAAGTGATATAAATAGAAAGTGATATTTGGGCTTGGGGATGTAGCTCAGTGCTGAAGAGCTTGCCCAACATTTGTTAGGCCTCAAGTTAAATCAATCACCAGCACTGTAAAGACTAAACAAAAAAGCCTGATATTTGTTGGAGAAAAGTTGGAAAATGCAGAAAAGCAAATGGAAATTGTTTTGCTTATATGTAAATACTCACCCTGTTAATCTTACTCAGAGACTAATATTACTAGAGGATGGAGGCCCAAGTTCTGGAGTTGGATTGTCTGTCATGATCCTGGCAGCACCATCTGCTCACTGTGTGACTTTGGACAAGTTATTTTTCCATTTCTTTGGTGTGCTTATCTGTGAGATGGGAATGGCAATCGCAGTCTTGCTTCACAGGATTGTTGTGAAAACTACATTATTTCCCTTTATGTAAAAGTGTTTAGGGTTCCAGAAACTGGTATGTATATTGGTTGGAATCAGATGACAGGATCATCTTGTTGGAGTTGTCTGCTGCTATTACCAGTCATCAGCATCATGTGTGGAAGCAATGTGAGCCTTCGTAGCATTGAGTGTGATATGGATGCTTGTTGACAAAGTGCGGTAATGAGGCTTTTTAGAAGCTCTTCAACTGAGGATTAATAGTTGATGCCTTTGTGTTTTCACAGGGGCCAGGAGAGTGCTGGTATCGTGACCAGTGATGGGAGTTCTGTGCCAACATTCAAAACGCATAAGGTAAACTTGAACATTGAAAAAGATGATGGTCAAGATAACAATTGCCAGATGATCATTAGTATATGAGGGGAGAAAGGAATGAATAAACAATTTGCAGAAGATAGTACCTTTTCAATCATTTTCAATTTTTTATCCTAACATCTGTCAAATTAGAATCTTCCTTCCTTCCTTCATTTCCTACATGCCTACCTTCCTTCCTGCCTCTTTACGCCTTTTCATCCTGATTAGAATTATGTAGCATAGAGACAGTAGGTGAACTGGGATTGCCTGAACAGAGAGGCTTATTTGCTAGCAGTACTAGTCTGTGTTTTTTTCTAAGATATGCTTTTTCTTTGACTTCTCAAGGGAATGGGTCTTGTAAATCATGTTTTTACTGAAGACAATTTGAAGAAATTGTATGTTTCAAATCTTGGCATTGGACACACGAGGTATGCCACTACAGGAAACTGTGAATTAGAAAATTGTCAGCCCTTTGTTGTTGAAACACTTCACGGGAAAATAGCTGTGGCACATAATGGCGAATTGGTGAATGCTGCTCGGTTAAGGAAAAAGGTAAGTTTTCATTAATGCAGTTAGTTAGAGGATCTTGTCAAGGGACATTTCTTTTCTTTCTTTCTTTTTTTTTTTTTTTAAACCAGGGATTGAACCAAGGGGCAGTTTACCACTGAGTTACATCCCCTGCACTTTTTTTAAGAGACACAGTTTCACTAAGAAACTTAGAGCCTTAGGCTCATGAGTTGCTGGGATTGCAGAAATGGCATTTCTTAATTGTTGCTACCTGATGCCTAACTGCCACTAGCAATCACATAAGAATTACCTGGAGTATTTGTTATAATTCCAGATTCTAAGATACCCCCCCCCCCGCGCCCCCATAGTTGAGGGCATTTGAATATACTCCCAAGGTGGTTTGCAATAGTGTTGCTTTAGTGTTGAGATTTGGGAAGTTGATTTATGGTTTCTGTTTTAAGCACAGAAAAATTAGGGTTTATAGATCCTTTCTGTCCTTTGGAAATTTGTTTCTGTGTTCAAAGTTTATTTGACTTTCAGACTCATCACAGCATAACCCAAATATAAGGGTTTCTCACACCAACCAGTTCTCTAGAGGACATCAACTGAGTATCCTATAATTCAGATCAACATTGCAACCTAGAGTCAGGGTCTGATCCCAGTGATTAAGAGCTTAGTCCCACAAGTCTACTACTTTCCGCTTCAGATGTCAGTCACAAGTTTGAGTCTCTGATACTTTTAACCAACTGGCTATTGGGTGTTTCATGTCCCCTTCCTGATTTCCATCATTTGATAGAGCAGTTCACAGAACTCAGGAAAGTATTTTTTTTCTTTTTTTAAAATATATATATCTTTATTTTTTAGTTGTAGACGGATAATACCTTTATTTATCTTTATGTGGTGCTGAGGCTCGAACCCAGTGCCTCACACATGCTAGGCAAGTACTCTACCACTGAGCCAGAGTCCCAGCCCAGGAAAGTACTTTTCTTATGCTTACCAATTGATCATAAAGCATACTACAATCAATACAGCAGAACAGTCAAGATGAAGAGATGGGTAGGGGGGCTGAGGATATGGTTCAGTTGGTAGAGTGCTTCCCTTGCATGCATAAAGGCTGGGGTTCAATCCCTAGCACCACCAAACAAAGAAAAAAGAAGACATGGGTAGGACAAAGTATGTGGGAAGAGGCATAGAGCTTTGATGCCCTTTGTGTACCACTCCAGGCTCTCCTTAGTTATCTGAAAACTGTCCCAATTTGTTCTATTTGGGTTTCTTGAGATCTCATTAAGTTGGCATAATTGCTTGAAATAGTAGCCTTGAATTATCAGCTCAAACTTCAGCCCCCTTCCCTCCTGGAAGGTCTGGTATAAGGTTGAAAGTTACCTCTAATCACCTGGTTGGTTCTCTGGCTACCAGTCATTTCATTATCCTACTAAATACGCTTACATTGGTCGTTGCAAGGGGTGTAGGAGCTGTGTGTGAGGAAAATCCTGGTCAAAAATCAACCTGTGGCTGGGTGCAGTGGCACACACCTGTAATCCCAGCAGCTCAGGAGTCTGAGACAGGAGGATCACGAGTTCAAAGCCAGCCTCATCCATGGCAAGGCACTAAGCAACTCAGTGAGACCCTGTCTCTAAATAAAATACAAAATAGGGCTGGGGATGTGGCTCAGTGATCTGAGTTTAGTCCCCAGCACACATACCCCACAATCACTCCAAAATCACCAACCTACAGTTGACTTTCCAGCACTACATATCCACCAAATGCAGATAAAATGTATCTGGGGGCAGGGGCAGGAAATTGCCTGTACTGAACACGTACAGACATTTTTCTTGTCATTATTCCCTAAACAATAACGTAATAACTATTTGCATTGTGTTAGAAATATCTAGACATGATCTAAAATATATGGTAGAGTGTATTAAGTTATATACAAATTCTACATCATTATTTTATATTTTATAAGGGACTTATGCATTGCAGATTTTGGTTCTGCAGCACTCCTAGAACTAGTTTCCCATAGGTGCAGTTCAATGGTATATATTTATCAAAGCATAAAAAGAAAGTAGACCTGGGTTGATGGTACTGGCCCATAATCCCAGCAACTAGGAGGCTGAGACAGGAGAATTGCAAATTGAAAGCCACCCTCAGCAATTTAGAGAGACCCTGTCTCAAAATATAAAAAGGGTTGGGAGTGTGGGTCAGTTCCACTGGTTCAATTAAGTACCCCTGGGTTCAATTCCTGGAACCAAAAAAAAAAAAAAAAACAGAGTAGAGTATAGGTTCAGGTTCAGTATCCTTTCTTTGAAATGAACCAGAAGTGGTTCAGATTTCAGATGTTTTGGGATTCTAAAATCTTTGGATTGGAACCAAGTCTAAACATATTAATTTATGTTTCATATACAAATGATGCACATAGAGTAAATATAATTTTGTATGATGTTTTAAATGATCTCATGCATGAAACAAACTTTCATGTGCAATTTCCACTTGTGGCATGTTGGTGCTCAAAAAGTTTCAGATTTTGAAGCATTTCAAGTTTTGGATTAGGGATGTTCAATTTGTATATCTGAGGCATAAAAAAAGCATATGAAGAAAATGGAGTCTAAACTTGAGGATGTCAAATATAAGAGAAATGAATTGTAACCATAATGGAAACTAAAATAGAATCTGGGAGTAAGGACAAAGGATATTTACTCCTACCCTTTATTTACAGCTTATCATTTGGAAGTTTTTGTGTTAACAACGTCTAGTTTATGCCTTTGACTTCATCCATTATTTCATCCTTTTTTTTTTTTTTTTTTTTTGGTGGTTGGGAGGGAATAACCAGGGATTGAACTCAGGGGCACTCAACCACTGAGCCACATCCCCAGCCCTATTTTGTATTTTATTTGGAGATAGGGTCTCACTGAGTTGCTTAGGCCTTGCTTTTTCTGATGGTGGCTTTGAATGTGCCACCACACCCAGCTTCATCATTCTTTTTAAAATTGTTATCATGCGGTGTCTTCATGTACCTGGTAGTTTCTTTTTTATCCACTTATGCCATTCATGGATGTTTAGTTTCTTCACTTCACTAGATTCTGATCATCTTGATTGGCACCCGAGGACCAGGTGGTAGTAGTTAGTAGGGCATGTTTAGACAAGTGCATACTCCATTATTCTTTCAGTCTCTTAGAGCTGTTGTCTCACATAAAGTAAGCAGTTTCAGAAGTTGAATGATGATGAACTGGTGGGCTGGAAGTATCTGGAACCCAAGCTTTTGTACCACTTGTTCTCCTGTTTTCCACTCTATCATTAGGGCTTCCCAGAGCTTTGCTGTGCCCTCTTTACAGGCTCTGGCATTATAATCTATGTAAGATACATTTTGCTTGGGAGTGGTGGTACATCTCTGTGATCCTAGCAGCTTAGAAGGCTGAGACAGGAGGAGGATTGCAAGTTCAAGACCATCCTCAGCAACTTAGTGAGAACTTGAGCAACTTAGTGAAACACTATCTCAAAATAAAAAACAAAAAGAGCTGGGGATGTAGCTCACTGGGTTAAGTCTCCAGTTTAAAAGAAAAAGGAGGGGCTGGGGATGTGGCTCAAGCGGTAACACGCTCGCCTGGCATGCACTGGGCACTGGATTCGATCCTAAGCATCACATAAAAATAAAGATGTTGTGTCCACTGAAAACTGAAAAATATTAAAAAATTCTCTCTCTCTCTTAAAAAAAAAAAGGATATATTTCTGGTTCTAAACGAAAAAAATATATATAACTCATTTTAAAAATTCAGACAACCCCAAAAGTATGCAGTAAATTACTAAAAGGTCACCACTTAGAGATTAGTGTCCATTTCAATTCACTTTTTTCAGACTTGTTCAGAACTTCAACTGGTATTTATACATTTAATTGTTTAATACAGTTGATTCCTTTCTTCTATCAGTAATCATTGAGGATGGGTAACCACCATCACTACCACTAACAGATGCAGTTTGAGAGTCACCACTGTAGTGTGCCTTTCTTAAGGGAATGTGTCTTACTCATCAGGAGTGTTGTGGGTAGAAAAAGACCCACAATCCAAACTCTTCCTCCCCTCAACCCCATTGCAGGTCTATATGCCCTCAAACTTTTCTTAGTGTCTCCTAAAGCACTGTTTTTTTTTCTCCTCAAACATTTGGAGACTTCCCATTGCCTTCCACAGTAGTCCTCTGTTTTCAGCATATACATACAATTAGTGGGGTGCAGGGTTTTCATAACTAGGTGTCAGCAGAATGCCCAATTATTTCCATTATGGTGGACTGTTGGGTGAGGACTAGAGGGGAGCTTTCTCTGCTAATGACAGATTTCTCTTCTGTATAGCTTCTGCGTCATGGTGTTGGTCTGTCCACCAGCTCTGATAGTGAAATGATAACCCAGTTACTGGCATATACCCCTCCTCAAGAACAAGATGACACCCCAGACTGGGTAGCAAGGTAACTGTAAATTTGGATTATTCTTGCAGCTTTGGTGATGCAAACATTGCTTTCAGTGTTTATAACTGAAGTGATTCGTTTAGTCATTTTAATTAATCCATTTCAGGATTAAAAACTTAATGAAGGAAGCACCCACAGCATACTCCCTGCTTATAATGCACAGAGATGTTATTTACGCAGTTCGGGATCCTTATGGAAATCGTCCTCTATGCATTGGTCGACTTATTCCAGTTTCTGATATAAATGACAAAGGTAAGGGACTTCAGAAAGAATTAAGTTTCCAAAGTCATTGCCCTACTGCTAGCGAGCCCTGAAATCTTTAGGTATAGGAAACTTATGAGTGAGAGGGATTTAGTTAAACAGAAAAATGGCTTTGTTAGTCTTTTGTTTGGTTGGTTTTGATGCTGGGATTGATCCCAGGGTGCTTAACCACTGAGGCATATCCCCAGCCCTTTTTATTTTTTTATTTTTGAGAAAGGTCTTACAAAATTGCTTGGGGCCTCACTAAAGTTACTGATGCTGCCGTGATCCTCTTGCCTCAGCCTCCTGAGTAACTGGGATTATAGCATGCCCCACAGTGTCCAGCTCGGTGTTGTGTGTTTTTAAAGTACTTTTCTTTGTCTACATCTAAGAATGAGTCACTTTTTTTTTTTTTTAAGAGCTTAATGGTTATACATAGTAGTTGGGTTTATCCCAACAAACTGTACTTGCGTGGAAATCAATTTCAGTTCATGAACCTCCCCTTTCCCTCCCATCTTTCCCCATTCCCCTTATTTTTCCTCTATTAGACTTCCTTTTTAAAAAAAAAAATTATTTTTTAGTTTTAGGTGGACACAATATCTCTATTTTATTTTTATGTGGTGCTGAGAATCAAACCCAGTGCCTCACGCGTGCTAGGCGAGGGCCACATCCCCAGCCCCAGACTTCCTTTTCCTTGTCTTTTTTTTTTTTTTTTTTAAGGATTCTTTAAAAAACAAAAAACTTTGTTTTATTTTTATGTGTTGCTAAGGATTGAACCCAGTGCCTCACACATGCTAGGCAAGCACTCTACCACTGAGCCACAACCCCAGACCTGCTTGTCTATTAATCTGTATTTCATTGGTTCTTCTCTTCATCCTCCATTCCTTTATTTTATTTAGCTTCCACATGAGAGAAAACATTCAACCATTGAGTTTCTAAGTTTGGCTAATTTCACTTAGCATGATATTCTCCATTTCCATCCATTTACCATCAAATGCTATAATTTATGAAAATGGGTCACTTTTAATGTATTAACAGACATTCTTATTTTTTTCAGTCTGAGCTACTCATTTGTAGTCTTTGTTTAGCTTTTAATTTCTACAGTATGCTTTTAGTGATTTTCTTTTTGACTTTTCAGGTGTCTTGTTTAGTCATAAAAATAATGTTGGTAGGAGTCTTAGGACTATTATTTATCTTTGGCTTAAGTTAGATGAAGATCCATGTGCTTTTTTTAAAAAATTTTTTTAGTTATAGGTGGACACAAACTTTATTTTGTTTGTTTATTTTGTACGTGATGCCTGGGATTGAACCTAGTGCCTTACTCACGCAAGCTAGGCAAGCACTTTACCACTGAGCCACAACCCTGGCCAAATCTATGTGCTTTTAAAGTCATGAAATCATCTTTTCTTTGAGCTTTTTTTACTTTATCTATTTAGTGTTTAACTATTCTGTTGAAATAGCCTCTTTTAGGGCTGAGGATGTGGCTCAAGCGGTAGCGCGCTCGCCTGGCATGCGTGCGGCCCGGGTTCGATCTTCAGCACCACATACCAACAAAGATGTTGTGTCCGCCGAGAACTAAAAATAAATATTAAAAATTCTCTCTCTCTCTCTCTCTCTCTCTCCTCTCTCACTCCCTCTTTAAAAAAAAAAAAAAAAGAAAATAGCCTCTTTTAAAATTACTTAAATCCATTAACTGAGTTCTTTTTTGATTTATAGGAAAAAAAACATCAGAAACAGAAGGATGGGTTGTGTCTTCAGAATCTTGTAGCTTTTTATCTATTGGTGCAAGGTAAGTTTCACCCATTGGGCATTTTATCTTTTCCCACATTTATAAGACGTTTTTTAGTTGGGCATGGTGGCATGTTCCTGTGGCCCCAGCTACTTAAGAGGCTGAGGCAGGAGGAGCACTTCAGCCTGTGAGTTTGAGACCATCCTGGACAAGATAGTAAGATTCTGGCTTAAAAAGAGAGGGGATTTTTTTTTTTTTTTAATTAAAAAGAAAATTTCCTTTTGCTAATTACATGAAAGTTTTCTTTCTAACATATATAACAAAACATACACAATTTGTTATGTAGATTTGTGCTTAGCACTTACATTACATGAATGTGTACCTTGTAATTTTATGAGCATCATCTTTCTTTTACACTATTATGAGACTCAGAAAGGAAGGATGTTCTTAACAAGAAATTATAATGGAAAAATTTTAAATCAGGATAAAAATACTTACCTTTTATTTCAAAAATCAATAAAATGTAGGACTCTCTTTATTTTTTTGATTTAATTGTTTTGGGATGGAACCCAGGGGTGCTTCACCACTGAGCCAAATCCCTTATTTATTTATTTTTTTAAAAATGTTTTTAGTTGTAGATGGACACAATTCCTTTTTTATTTTTTTAATTTATGTATTTTCATATAGTGCTGAGAATTGAACCCGGTGCTTCATATGCTAGGCAAGCACTTTTCCAGAGTTCCAATCCCAGGCCCCCACACCCAGCCCTTATTTTTTATTTTCTGACAGGGTCTCACTAAGTTACTTAAGGCTTCACTAAATTGCTGAGGCTAGCTTTGAACTTGTGATTGTCCTGCCTCAACCTCCTGAGTCAACTGGGATTACCGCTGTGCACCATCGTACCCAGCTAAGATTCTCATTTTTGAAATTTTAAATTAGGACATAGAGATAACAGACTTATAGACATATTAAAGGAATCACTTTTTTTCTAAAAGGGAGGGAACTATGTGTTTTTAAATTGATATTATCATCGGCCTTAAGGACTGATTTAAACATTGTTTTCAAGATATTACCGTGAAGTTTTGCCTGGGGAAATTGTGGAAATATCCAGACATAATGTCCGAACTCTTGATGTCATATCAAGGTCTGAAGGAAACCCAGTGGCTTTTTGTATCTTTGAATATGTTTATTTTGCAAGACCAGATAGTATGTTTGAAAGTAAGTAAATTTCATTTCTTTGACTGTTCCTGTAAATTTCTTATTTGTCTCATTGAAACATAGCAGTTCTTGGCCCAAAAGTTTACCTTGCTTTTTGAAGGTACAGTTTTGGGTTTGTTGTTGTTGTTGTTGTTGTTTTAGTTGTAGATGGACACAATACATTTATTTTGTTTACTGGTTTTATGTGGTGCTGGGGATTGAACCCAGGGCCTCACATGTGCTAGGCAAGCGTTCTGCCACTGAAGGTACAGTTTTATGTTTTGTATATATTAATGAATTCATAAGTCATTAGATTGCTATTTCCCTTCCTTTCAACTTTAAGACATTATTTTTCTTATTAAAAATGATTATATGGGATGGGAGACATGGTCAAATATCAATCTTCTGCATGTGAAAAAAAATAATGATTATGATTTTCAAATGTATATTAAGGTCAAAATTTTTAATACTACACAGTTGAACTTTTTTTGGGGGTGGGTGGGTATCTCAGGGACACTTGACCCTGAGTATTTAGAGACAGGGTCTCACTGAGTTGCTTAGAGCCTCACTGTTGCTGAGGCTGGCTTTGAACTCAGGATCCTCCTGTCTCAGCCCCCCTCCCCAGCTGCATAGTTGAACTTTGAACTCCCCAATTTGAGTATTTTCACTTCATTGTTTTTGTATATATTGCTTTTTTGGTACTGGGGTTTGAACCCAGAGCCTTGAGCATTCTAAGCATGTTTGCTTTTTTTTTTTTTTAATACTTAATTGATGATGTTCTAATGCTGTCTTTTTAGAATAACAATATTAAGTAAAAATAACTTGTTTCCTTTTCCAAACATACCAGACCAAATGGTTTATACGGTAAGATACCGTTGTGGTCAACAGTTGGCAATTGAAGCACCTGTGGATGCAGATTTGGTTAGCACTGTTCCAGAATCTGCTACACCTGCTGCTCTTGGTTACGCAGGAAAGGTATTTCTCTTAATTACTTGGCATTGAATTGCATTCTTAGCAGTGGAATAAGAAATTCTAGCCTATAAAGGGAAACTCAACAAGGAAAGAAAAGGAAAGGTTTGGGAGTTTATTTGGATTCTTTAGAAGAATTATTATTTTCTAAGGTTTGTGAAGATCACAAAAAGCACCCCAAAACTGGGAAATTTGCCCTAGTTTGTGTGTGTGTGTGTGTGTGTGTGTGTGTGTGTGTGTGTGTGTGTGAGAGAGAGAGTGAGAGAGAGAGGGAGGTGAGGGGAGAGAGAGAGACAGACTTGGGACTGACTCCAAGGGTGCTCAGCCATTAACATCCTCAGCCCTTTTCATTTTTTATTTTGAGACGGTCTTGCTAAGTTGCCAAGGTTGGTCTTGAACTTTTTTTCCTCCTGCCTCAGCCTCCCAGGTTGTTGAGATTACAGGTGTGTGCTACCATGCCTAGTGGCCCTGTTCATTTTTTTTTTTTTAACAGATAGTAGTAACTATATAGAGAGAGAATTTAGTGGTAATGCAGGTTGAGCATCTCTAATCAAAAAATCCCAAATGTTGAGTACCAATAGGATACCATAAGTGGAAAATTTCAAACCTGAGCTCACATGACAGGTCATAGTCAAAACATAGGCACACTAAGAATATTGTATCTAATTGCCATCAAGATGTACGTGAGGCCAGGTGCAGTGGTGCACACCTGTAATTCCAGTGGCTCAGGAGACTGAGGCAGGAGGATTGCAAATTCAAAGGCAGCCTTAGCAAAAATGAGGCGTTAAGCCACTCAGTGAGACCCTGTCTCTAAATAAAATACAGAATAGGGCTGGGGATGTGACTCAGTGATTGAGTGCCCCTGAATTCAATTCTGGTCCCTGGTTTCAAAAAAAAAAGATGTACATGAAACATAAATGAATTTCATGCTTAGACTTGGTTTGCATCCCCAAAATATCTCATTGTATATCCAGATATTCTAAATCTGAAATTTGAAACCCTCTTGACAACATTTAAAATAAAGAATACTGGATGTGTATTTGCATATGAAAACCTCCTCCTTGAAATTTCCTCATTAGCTGCCGGGTTTCTGTTCTAGCAACTAAAAGGCTCAGGGGTCACTCTAGTTAAACTGGGCTAACTGGGCCGCACGAAATAACCACACAAGAGACACAAATACTTTTTTCTTTGAGGTTGCTGTGACTGCTCCTCTGACCTTAAGGGTCCGCAGAAAGAGAGAGAGAGAGAGAGAGAGCACACACATGTGCTGACCCCTTTTATTGAGGAGAAGCTATTCAAATGAGGCAAGGGGTCAGGTTTCAGGGGGCTGAGTCTATCTTCATGATGTCCACTGTCAGCAGGTTGACTGACACCTGGGTAGGCCACACCCAAGGGCACAGTAAGAGGAGGGGACACACAAAAGGCACTTCCATGAAGATTCTATCCTAAACAGGGCAAGGGGTTATACTACAAAGGAATAGCTTCACCCATGGGGCTGTAGCAAGACACACCCATTTCTGTGACTGAGCGCCTCAGCACCCAGCTGGGGAGTGTAACTCAGTCACCCATAAGGTTGGCCTCCCACAATTAGCCACTAATGTATCCATTTCTTACTAAGTCTGGATGATAAAAGTGTTTATATTCACTTTGTGTAATGTTCCTAGTGCTCTGCTTAATTTCATTTTTTCATACCAGGTAATTGTATAGTTATAGTGAATGATCCTAGAGCGTATAACACCTAATATTAACCATCTTGGATAGTGTTAGTAGTTTCCCATTGTTCTGGTGAAATATACCCGAGTCTGGGAATCTTTCTAAAAAAGAAATGTTTGTCCAGCTCAATTCCGGACCTTCAAGGGAAAGGTGCTAGTCTTTGCTTATTTCTGTTGAGTGCCTCATGCCAGATAAAACCACAATGACAAGAGCCAAACTAGAAACCAGAGAACAGTTCAGAAGTCAGACTCAGTTTTTATAAGAACTCTCTAGCAAGGCCAATCTAAGACCCTGAAGGACCCTTGAGAACTATTTCAATCCTTTCTGAGGACAGCCCCCACCCTGTTACACTCCACCTCCTAAGTAAGAGGTAAGTAATATTAAAATGTCCCAAAGCAACATACTTAAGGGTCTCCATTAGACCCGCCCGTTAATCCACGTCAGTGCCACACAGAGGACCATGCCACCAACACACGAACCTTTAGGGGACAAACTGTAGTAGATAGTTTAATTAGCTTCTGAAAGAAACTATATGCATATATTTCAGAAAAGATTACCTTGAGAAATGGATGAATAATTTCCTGTCCCTAAAGAGCATCTCCTTAGCCTACTGTTTATTCTTATGCCAATAATTTTTAAATGTGTAAAATTTTCTGACAGTGATTTATTCTTTTTTTTTGTCTTCATATGCCTAGTGTTCTCTTCCAAGAGAAATAGAGGAATAACCATGTTTTAAGAGAGCAGAATTTCTTGCCTCACATGCACAAGGCCCTAGGTTCAATCCCCAGCACCACACACACCAAAAAAGAGAGCAGCATTAGCCAGGTGCAACGGTACTTACCTGTAAGCCCAGCTACTCAGGAAACTGAGGAAGGAGAATTGGAAGTTTCAGGCAGCCTTGGCAACCTTGGAAGACCCCATCTCAAAAAATAAAATCAAAAGGGTCATAAATAAAGAGGAAGGGATTAAAAATTCTAGTAAAATAAATTGTTTTTCTACAAACTATTTTCTTTCAACAGGGCTTTTCCTTCTTTTTTCCTGTCCACAGTTTAAATAGTGAAATAAATTTATATTCTGGTAATGGAAAGTTTGTAGCAACCACCAAATTGTCACGTTTTACATACATATTATAATGCTAGCATAATCTAAAGAGAAAAGGAGCCTGGAGTAGAGTGTGTATTGCTGCTCATTATCTATTCATGTCTCCCCTCTCAGTGTGGACTTCCTTATGTGGAGGTGCTGTGTAAAAACCGGTATGTTGGAAGAACTTTCATTCAGCCAAACATGAGGTTAAGACAACTTGGTGTTGCCAAAAAATTTGGAGTGTTGTCGGACAACTTTAAAGGCAAAAGAATTGTTCTTATAGATGATTCAATTGTGAGAGGCAATACCATCTCACCTATAATAAAATTGCTCAAAGAATCAGGTGCAAAAGAGGTAAGTAATATTAAAATGTCCCAAAGCAACAATACAATACTGTCAATAAAAATTGAAATTCAGTATCATGAATCAAAATGATAGGTCATTAAGGTAAGTTAGCTTGTTGTATCAGATTGTTTTACAAATAACTGTGGCAATTTGGAGAAATGTAATAGCCATTCTTATACTGTATACTAAGTTTTTGAAAGGCCAAAAAGCTAAATATAAAAGCTTAAGAATAATTTTGGAAATTTAATTAGCAGACCAACTTTAAAAATCATAATAATTGAATGCTTTTTAAATCTATACAATTTTGATTACTTTCTCCATTTGAAGACAAAATCATTCCAGTGTAATAAATTTAACTCTCTTTTATTTGTATCACATCATCTCCTGGGGGAAAAAAATTCTTTAAAGCTTTTAATTTTCTTAGTTAAAAAATAAACATGTATTCATTTATGGATATAACATCCTTTGATGCATTTTTCAGCATACAGGACTACCTCGCTGTATTGCACTTTTCTTTATTGAACTCCACACATACTATGATTTTTGCAAATTGCTTTTCAGCAATCCTGTATTGAGTAGGTTTGCTACTGCCATTCTTCCAGCAGTATGTGCTCGCTTTAAGTCTCCATGTCACATTATGGGCATTCTCATGATACTTAAGATTTTTTTTTGTTATTGTATCTGTTACGTTGATAGGTAATCAGTAATCTTTGATGTTACTATTGTAATCATTTTAGGGTACCACAAACTGTCCTGACAAGATGGCAAACTTGAGATTGATGTGTGTATTCTTTTTTTTTTTTTTTATTGGTTGTTCACAACATTACAAAGCTAATGATGTGTGTATTCTAATGACTCCATTGACCACTCATTTCCCTGTCTCCCTTTCCTTTGGCCTGTGTGTTCCCTGAGATAGCAATATTGAAATTAGACTAGTATATTACCCTACTATGACCTTTAAATGTAAAGAGAAAGGAAAAAAAAAAAATCTCTCACTTTAAATTAAATACCAGTGAGGAAGGCATGTGGAAAGCTGAGAAAGGCTGAAAGCTACATCTCTTGTGCAGTTTACCCACATTGTAACTGCAAAGGAAAAGTTCTTGAAGGAAACAAAGTGTATCTCTATGAACCCACAAATGGTAAGAAAGCAAAACAGCCTATTGGGATATGGAAAAAGTTTTAATGGTGTGGAGAGATCAAACCATCCACAACATTCCTTAGAGCTGATCCAAATTAAGGTCCTAACTCTTCAGTTCTAGTTCACTGTTAATACCCATTGCTGGGTAAAGAAGATGTCTTTCAAAATATTATTGCTCAGGGCTGTGATTGTAGCTCAATGGTAGAGCGCTTGCCTAGCACACTTAAGGGACTGAGTTTGATTCTCAGTACCACATACAAAAGGTAAATAAAATATGGTTATTAAAAAAATTTAAAAACGTTATTGTTTATAGATAATGTATCTGGCAACCTAGGAACTGTGACAGAGTTGTATGAGATTTTTGTTGTTTTTATTCTTGCTTGTCCAACAGCCATTCTGTTATCTCTGGAACAAACAGTGATCTTGACTTTCAGGTCTTATTAGTTAAGAAATGCATTTTGTTAAGGCTATCACTGCCATATAAACAATGATTTCTTGATGGATCATGCCAAAGTAAATTGAGAATGTTGTGGAAAGGATTCACCATTCTAGATGCCATTAAGAGCATTTGTTATATAAGGGAGGAGGTCAGAATATCAACATTAATTGATGTTTTGGAAGAAGTTGATTCCACCCCTCATGGGAGTGTTGAGGGGTTCAAGATTTTAAAAGAGGAAGTAACTGTTGATTTGTTAGAAGTAGCTAGAGAACTAGAATTGGATGTATGGAGCATGAAGGTATGACTGAATTGTTGCAATCTCATGGGAGAACTGTAATGACAGTGAGTTACTTCTCTCCCCATCTCCATCCACAAAATGGAGAGTGAACCCAGGGGCACTCTGGCACTGAGCTACATCCCCAGTCCAAAACAAAGTATTTAAGATATTTCAGAAACAGTTGACAAAGCAGCAGCAGGATTTCAGGGAACTAACTCCAATTTCTAAAAAGTCTTATTGTGGGTAATGTGCTACCAAAACAGCATCACATGCCACAGAGAAATCTTTCCTGAGAGGAAGTCAATGTAGCAAATTTCATTGTTGCCTGATTTTAAGAAGTTGTCACAGCCACTTCAGCAATCACCACCATAGTCATCCTGAAGACAAGACCCTTTGCAAAAATATTACAGCTTGTTGAAGGCTCAGATTACTATTAGTACTTTTTAGCAATGAAATTTTGTTGTTATACAGGGGGTTGAACCCAGGGGTGCTTGCCTACTGAGCCACATCCCCAGCCCACAGTGCCTTTTAATTAGTTGTTGATGAACGTTCATTTATTTGTGGTTTTTTTTTTTTTTTTTTTTTTTTTGCTTATATGCAATGCTAAGAATCCAACCCAGTACCTCACATGCTAGGCTAGCACTCTGCCACTGAGATACAACCCTATCCCCTGAGCCCTTTTTGTATTTTATTTAGAGACAGGATTGTGCTGGGTTGCTTAGGGCCTTGCTAGGTTACTGACACTGGCTTTGAACTTCCAGTTTCCCTGCCTCACCCTCCTGAGCCACTGGGATTACAGGCATGTGTCACCACACACAGCTAATGAAGTATTTCCCTTTTTTTTTAATTGTAGATGTACACAATGCCTTTATTATTTTTTATGTGGTGCTGAGGATTGAACCTAGTGCTTGTCATGTGAGGGAAGAGCTCTACCACTGAGCCACAACTCTAGTCCCAGTTTGTTTGTTTGTTGTTTTTTTTCTTGGTAGTGCTTATGATTGAACCCAGGGTCTTATGCATGTGAGGAAAGAACTCTACCAACTGAGATATATCTCCAGTCTCCCCAGTGTTTCTTTTTTTAAATATTTTTTTCAGTTGTAGACAGACACAATACCTTTATTTATTTATTTTTTATGTGGTTTTCAGGATTGAACCCAGTGCCTCACACATGCAAGACAAATGCTCTACCATTTGAGCTACAAACCCAGCTCCCCCGCCCCACAGTATTTCTTATTTAACATGTATATTGTTTTTTTTAGACATTGATATTGCACACCTAAAAGATGCAACTCACTGGTAGACCACTTGACTAGCATGTGTGTTGCCCTGGATTCTATACCCAGCACTGAAAAAAAAAAGTAGACTCTAATATAATAAAGATAACGTACAGGATCTAAGAGACAAAAAGAAAATTGTGTGACTTATTTTTTTCTCTATTCACTTTCTTGTGATCCAGAAATAAGTTGTAATATCTCCAAGGTATGCCTATATTGTTATTTTTAAATTTCAAAGCTTATTCTAACCTTAAATATTTTAGTTGATCAGATTATATTAGTGAGATTTGTTTATAACAAATAGTAGAGCAAAGCTAAAAATAAAATGTAGGAAAAAATGGGATGGAAATTAATAAAACCCTATTTAGAATGTTTCAAAGATAATTATGATTATGATTTTTCAGCCTTTATGACTGGTAATAATTATGATATTCTTCAAAGTTCTAGGAAAATTATATAGTACAAGCAAAGTAAATACAAGTCTGTTACAATAGTAAAAAAGAATAGACCAAAAAAAAAAAAAAATCTGGAAATGGCTCAAGTATCTTCCAGTAGGAGAATAGTAAAGTGATCAGGGTGATGACATATGCAGCCATTAAACTATGTGAAGAGTGGGCTGGGAAATAGCTCAGATGGTAGAGTGCTTGCCTTGTATGCACAAGGCCCTGGATTCAATCCCCAGGGCCACCAAGAAAAAAAGAAAAAACTATGAAGATCTGGGTTCAGTGATGCACACCTGTAATCCCAGCTACTCAGGTGGCTAAGGAAAGAGGATCACAAATCTAGGCCAGCCTGAGCAGCTTTCTGAGTCCCCCTGTCTCAGAATGGGGATGTAGCTTAGTGGTAGAGCACCTGGTTCAATTCCCTATACTAAAATCCAAAAAAATAAAATTAAGAAAAAGAAAGTTTTTGGCAGGCATGGTGGTGCACGCAGCTTGGGAGGCTGAGGCAGAAAGATCACAAATTCAAAGCAGATTCAGTAAAAGCGAGGCACTGAACAACTCAGTGAGACCTTGTCTCTAAATAAAATACAAAATAGGGCTGGGGATGTGGCTCAGTGATTGAGTGTTCCTGAGTTAATCCCCATTACCAAAATAAAGAAAAAAGAAAGTTTTAAAGAAAAAAGGGGACACTGAATATGGCTACATAAATGGACCTAACAAAAGGCAAAAAATAATAGACAAAATTAGCTCTGTTCCATAGTAAGGGCTTTGTTATTATCTGGTAGATCATATCTTTTTAATATTTTAAGAGGTAGGCAAAAGTACTATTCAGGTATTAAAAGGAAAATAACAGTAGTTCTAGGAAAATAAAGTCATTAAATGAGAAGTCGGAGATCTGAAAAAGGATTCCTTATTAATCAGTAGCATGAGAAAAAAATATTCAATGAAACAAATTTTATAGTTTTCCTTATTACCATGTCATTACTACATGTGTTAGAAAACAACTTTATTTTGGATTTGATTAGTGAGAGAAATTTGTGTAGTTATTCTAACTTTGAGTATATGAAATGCTTTCTTTCCAAGGTACACATTCGAGTAGCTTCCCCACCAATTAGATACCCATGCTTCATGGGAATCAACATTCCCACAAAAGAAGAGCTTATTGCCAATAAACCAGAATTTGATCATCTTGCAGAATATTTAGGTAGGTATTAAAATTTCTGTAGACTTTGTTTATGAAAAGAGAACCCCAAACTTGTTGGGTTTTATACATTTAATGAAAATTAAGTAGAATATGTTGGTAACATTTAACATCAGTGTTCAATATGTTAACAACAGTGATTATATCATACATGTTAAACAGATAGTGAATGCTGTTTTGAACAGTGAGAGTTTTGAAAAGTAAATGCTTTTGGAGAAGTAGGTCAAGGTGAGGCCAGGGAAGGAAGAATGGTTTTGTAGGTAGAAGGAATAGCAATCATATTAGCCAGAGACTCCCAAAGTTCAGATACCAAGAAAAATGAGAGAAAACTATAATCATCAGATCTGATCCCAAGGTCAAATCTCAAGGAAACGAAGAATTTTATTGTGTATTTTAACAGAATAATTTGGATGTGGATGCAAATCAAAAAGTAAAAAGCTACTATGTAAGCTTATTTTTAATAATGAGATAAGCAGACATGGAAATCTATTATCCTCCATTAGACATGTTTCTTTCAAAATCAGGAGATATCTAAACCATTTTAGTTCCATATGATGTCCAGTCATTGTACCTTGGTACCTCATACTAGTTATGGCAGGCATTTCATTTGGCTGGTCCCGCCTTTGCCTTATGGGTTAAATATTTTGAATATTATCCTGATGGATACCATATTGTGTCCACTCTCTTTGCCAGAAACTATATTGCATGTGGTATCTGTATTATAAATTACAGTTAAGTGATGTTTGGGTGTTTGTTTCACCCATCTTGTAGATTAAAAATAAAAGATGAATGACTTTTCAACTTTAATTTGAGGCCAAACAGGGATGTGTTCACTTCCTAGCTCTGGAGGGCCTGGCGGTTGGGGGGGCGGGGGGACTCCAGAAATTATTGAAATTATTCCTCAGTCCTGAAGTATTCCTGCTGTTTTAAATTGTTATCCTCTAGTTCCTATGGAAATTTTAAAAATAAATGATCTGTATTTTGAATTCTTTTCCCCCTTTCTTTTCAAGAAAGGAAAATTTTTAAGCCTGGCTTAAATTGTGCTATTTATAACTATCCTCTGTTGAAATATTTCCTCCTTTTTAAAGAGAGTCTCATGACCTTTTCATTTTTCCCTCTTTCCTCCTATAGGAGCAAACAGTGTTGTATATCTGTCAGTAGAAGGACTCGTTTCATCTGTACAAGAAGGAATAAAATTTAAAAAACAGAAAGAGAAAAAGAATGATATTATGATTCAAGAAAATGGAAATGGTTTGGAATGTTTTGAAAAGGATGGTCATTGTACAGCTTGTCTCACTGGAAAATACCCCGTGGAACTGGAATGGTAGCGGGAAGGGGCAGATCTGTTGCTGAAAATTGGTCAAGGAGTGAAGTGGTTACACCTTACTGTTTTTCTCAGTTGGTAAAATATATAATGCCACATGCTTGTGTTTTCCTTTATATGTTTTGAGAGTTTTTTTTTTTTTTTCCTGTAAAGGGTACCAAAGTGCTATAATTGAACCTTGCTAATTGCATATTGTACAACATGTGGTATTCTTTTCTAAAAGGCATTGGCTAGCCTTTTCTACCTGCAGAGAAGGCAGGTGGTAAGTGGCATTCGCCAAGTCCATGCTTCAAGGGTTAGTGAGAGGTTAAACTAAGATAGGAGCTGTGATTCAAGTAGGACAAGTGAGTTCATAACAACATTTCATACCAAGTTTGAATCCATCATACCCCATAGTTGTCTAGCCTCTACAGTTCTGGCTGTAGTTACAACCTTGGCTTCTCTGTCTAACTTTAGACAACTCTTTGGGAAAAAAATAAATAAAAACAGTATCCCCACTTACACAAAGAGGTACTTATAATTATTAAGAGTTGATAGGAATATGAATAAGTGTCAAGACTTCTGGTGCTAGAGCCATCAGTTCACTCCTAAATTTTAAGATAGTTCACAATCATTAGCTTTTGAAAAGCGAATGGTTATTAACCTTTTTAAAATTAGTTTGCAACTGAGATTTCATTATGATGGAGGGAGAGATACGATTTGGCAGATCCTTGCCATCTCTCTGAGATCCCTCAAGAATGTTTGTAAAAATGTGTGGGAAAAAATTCTACATTTGACTAGAAAATATTATCCATAATATTTAGTGCCCTAACAATATAATCTCAGCAAGTAACAATAATTTTTAAAAGTTCACTGAGCCTTTCTTGGCGGGGAGGGATACTAGGGATTGAACCCAGGAGCACTTAACCACTGAGCCACAACCCCAGCCTTTTTATTTTCTATTTTGAGGCAGGGTGTCAAAGAGTTGATTAGGGCCTCTCTGAATTGCTAAGCCTGGCCTTGAACTTCCGATCCTCCTGTCTCAGCTTTCCAAGCAGCTGTGATTACAGGCATATATATGTATCCATATACATATGATTAATTAAGTGATCAAATAGAAACATAGTAGGGGCCAATTTTGTTTAATGATGAAAGAGAAGATCACTTTTTTGGATCTAGAATACCCATACGCAAGCATCAACTTACAGTTACTTTTTTCTACTTTGTTTTTTCTTATAACTCATATTTAGAAAATTGAGATGATTTGCTTACCAACTCCTGTTTATATAAGATTTTTAAAACAAACAAGTTTCTGTGTTACCATCATTTGGTGTATATAGTGTCCAAATCCATTTAGAAATTTAATATTTATTAATAACTAAAATTGTTTGTCTGCCCTTGCTCTATAGTCCCATGTGTTTTATTATGACAGGTCGAGATAAAATGTTGTAGAACTTTAATATGTTGGTAGCATCTGAACCCTGTGACAGTGACACAGGCAAACTGGCATTTCAAAGCCCTGGGACCATTCCAGCACATGTAGCCTCTTGTCTTAAATGCATTCCCCATGGAAGCATGGAGGAGGTGAGACCTGTGGGTCACTTTTGAAATGGCCTTACTTAAATTTGATTTTCAAAAATAAGAAGACTCAGGGAAAGTATTAAACCAAAATCTCTGATTGACTTTCTTTTCCATAGTTTTTAAATTTTGTTTTATTGAAATGCTTTTATAAAGGAAAACAATACTGTGACCATTTGGTGTTTCTACAGTTTTTTTTTTTTTAGAGCTTTATTGTTATACATAGTAGTATTTGGGTTCATGCTAACAAACTCATGTGCATGGAAATCAATTTTAGTTCATAATCCCCCCTTTTTCCCTCCCCCTCACAAATTTCTTGATATTTCTCCATCATGGCTTTTTATTTTACAAGTTCTGAAGTTTGAATTAAATCACATTTTTTTTTTTTTACCAACTTGGTTTCAAGTGTTATTTGACTACTTTGAATTTATATAAGTAAACTGCAGAGAAGATAATGTGTTTCCCCAGGATCTACATTGTGAACTCAAATAAGCCTACTTTTTTGTGATTTCTTGGTGACAAATATATGTAATAAGGATGTTTACATATGTGTGTGCATGTGTGTGCTTTTTAAAAATAGTGATATTTAGTTAATGAGTGATGAAAAAACCATGAAGACAATCTCCTGGCTCCATACTTGGCACCAGCTGTTAAGATGTTATTTCTCTGATCCAGGCATTTCAATAAATAGGCCATCTCTTATGAACTAGATCAAACTTCTGGCAGAGTAGGAAAGGGAAATAATTAGAAATGCAATATTAACTAAGCACTATTGTATGGCAGGCTCTTTGGAAACACTAGGGAGATGAGAGGGCTTAGATTCTCTGTGTATAAGTGTTAGGCAAGTAATTTTGTAATTAAGGCAATAAATACATAACATATCGTACATCCAGACAGTGAAATACTATGTAGTGCTAAAAAGACATGAGCTATCTAAAAATGAAATTACATGGAAGAAACTTAAATGCATATTAGAAAGTCAAAGAAGCTAGTCTGAAAGTGCTACATACTCCATGATTCCGACTATATAATATTTGAGAAAAAGCAAAACTAGGGAGATAATAAAAATAAGTGGTTGCTGTAGGTTAGTGGAGAAGGGAGGATGAGTAGGTGGAAGAAGAGGGTATTGAAACTGTACTGTGCATGATACTATAATATATTTTAGCAAATGTGTCACACTAGTAAGGGATATTGATAATGGGGAGGTTTATATGGGGGCAGAGGGCACAGAAAATTCTGCTATGAAACTACTGCTATAAACTATTACTAAAAAAAAAAGATCTATTTTTAAGACACCAGTGCCCCACCTCATAAATAATAACAGGGCTGGGGTTGTGGCTCAGTGGTAGAGTGATTGCCTCACATGTGTGAGGCCTTAGGTTTGATTCTCAGCACCACATAAAAATAAAGAAAAAATTTAAAAAGGATTATCTAACTTTAAAAAGTAATAATAACAGTTCAACCAACTGCCACCACACCGCTACAGCCATTGTTGCTGCATCTGATTCTGCTGCTGCCAGCCTGAGGTCACCTGGAGGTCTTCTTTCTGGGTGCTGCTGCCACAGAAAAAGCTAGTGACCTAGATGCAACTGAAGCCAACATTGTTGCTGACCCCAGATATCACCTTGTGACGCTACTCCCACAGCTGCAGTTGCAGCCACTGCTACTGCTGACCCACTGCCTGCTGCCAACAACCACCACCACTACCGTTGCTATCATAGCCTAGAGAACTGCTTCGGAGAGACTCCAGGTTTGGTTGCACATGGCTGCACCCATATTGGAACACTAGCCAGGGCCTGGAGCCTGAGTACCAGCAGATTTATCACCAGAAGCTGGGGACTCCTGTCAAACCTGCAGGTCCAGTGTGGGGGTGCCTGTTGGTTTGGAGGAGCCTGGGGTCTTCCTGCTGAGGGTGCTGGTGGCCCTTGTCTTGCATCTTGGGTTTGCTTCTTTGCATGAATGTATCCCTGGTGGTCTCTCTGCAAGTAGGAGCAACATTGAGATCTTGGAACTGGAACTGCAACGTGACTGAACCTGAGGTATCTGAAGCCCAGATCAGTGGGATAGAGACTGGGTTTGCGAGGGCTGATCTGGATTTGGTGATCCTGAGAGACATCAGAGATAGGGCTGAGAAACTGTTGAATAGTGACAGAGACAGTTTGACTTTCTAGAAAGATTTATTTTTTGATTCACATAATCTCTCTACCATATTTAGAACAGGATGTTTTTTATGCATCAGTGTGTGGAGGACAATGATATATGAATGCTGTTTTGCATTTTTGTTGTATTCTTATGTCTTTTATTTTTTCTTTGTTCCTATTCCTCGCATTTGTCTGTTTTCTTGGATTTTTTCCCCCAACTTTTCTCCAGCCAACAGCCAATCTCTGTTGGCTCCTCTTCGCGCTTCCTGTGAATTTTTTTCTTCTAGCTTCTCTCTTCTTCCCTTGCGAATATTGCATACTATACTATCTCTGTTCTCTCATCCAACATTTGAAATTGTAAATCGTTTTAACAAATATTCTGTTTGTACTGTAGTTAGTTATTGAACTCATCATTTTGGTTTAATGTGAGAAAGTAGATGCCTCAGTGAGAGCTATTAGGTTTAAGGGTATATAAAGGCAAGGCGCTGGAAACCTTCAGGGATACTATAGGTCTACAGGGTATAATTAATCCTGCCTTAGATCCATACTTTTAGATAGGAAAACACACTACAACATGAAAAAAAAAAAAAAACAAGGGAATAAAGTGCCCCAAACAAACCAAAATGCTTCAACAACAGAAGCCACTGAACACAGCAGAAATGTCCAAGAAGGAGTCCAGATTGTATATAGTTAAATTGATATCTGATGTAAAGGATAGTATAAGCAGTGAAATAAAAGAAAAAATACAGGAAGTGAAAGACCACTTCAATAAAAAGATCATTCAAAACAAAACCAAGCAGAAATCTTCAGAATGAGAACCAAATTGTAAATTCAATAGAAAGTATAACCAACAGACTAGACCACTTGGAAGACAGACCCTCAGACAATGAAGACAAAATATATAATCTTGAAAGCAGAGTTGCACATACGGAGAAGATGGTAAAACACCATGAACAGAACATCCAAAAATTATGGGACAACATGAAAAACCAAGTTTAAGTTACCAGAATAGATATGAACCAAAGGAATGCACAATCTTTTCAATAATATAATAGCAGAAAATTTCCCAAACCTAAAGAATGGAATGGAAAATAAAATATACGAGGCTTACAGGACCCCAAATGTACAAAATTACATTAGAACCACACCAAGACACATTATAATGAGAATGACTAACAGAGACTAAAGATAAAACCATAAAGGCTGTGAGAGAAAAAAAAATCAAATTACATATAAGGGAAAACCAGTTCGGATCTCAATTGATTTCTCAACCCAGACCCACAAAACTAGGAGGTTCTGGAATAATATATTTCAAGCCCTAAAGAATAAACGGATGCCAACCAAGAATTTTATGTTCAGCAAAATTAAGTTTCAGATTTGAAGATGAAATTAAAATCATTGATGATAAACAGAAATTAAAAGAATTCACAACTAGAAAGCCTATACTACAGAGCATTCTGAACAAAATTTTCCATGAGGATGAAGTGAAAAAAAAAATGTGAAAACCAGCAAAGGGAGGATTTACACTAAAAGGACACTCAATCAAATGAGAAACTAAGACAAAACAAAAACCAGAAATAAATCAAAGTGACAGGGAATACAAATCATCTCAACAATAACCTTGAATGTTAACAGCCCTAAACTCATCAATCAAAAGACAGATGATACATTGGATTAAAAAGCAAGGCCCAGCAAAATGATGGGGAAAAACTTATCACTCATGAATTGCATAAATAAGCAGGGGTTTCCATTCCACTTTCAGATAAAATAGACTTCAAACTAAAGTTGATCAGAAGAGACAAAGAATGACATTTCATACTTCTCAAGGGAAGTATATATAGCAGGACATAAAAATTATAAATATCTATGCCCCAAACAATAGAGTATCTACGTTCATCAAACAAACCCCTCTCAATTTCAAGAATCAAATAGATCACAATACAATAATACTGGCTGACTTTAACACACCTCTCTCACTATTGGACAGATCTTTTAAACAAAAAGTTAATAAGGAAACTATAAAACTAAATAAAACAATAACTTAGACATATATGGAATATTTCATTCATCAATGTGCAAATATACTTTCTTCTCAACAGCGCATGGCTCCTTTCCTAATATAGATTATATATTATGCCAGAAGAGATAATACCAGATATAATACCCTGCATTCTATCAGACCACAATGGAATGAAATTAGAAATCAATGATTAAATAAAAAATAGAAGCTACTATAACAAATGGAGACTAAAAAACACAATTGAATGATGAAACGATAATAGAAGAAATCAAGGATGAAATTAAAAAATTCTTAGAGGTAAATGAGAACACTAATACAACATATCAAAATTTCTGGGACACTATGAACACAGTACTAACAGGAAAGTTTATTGCACTGAGTACATTCATTAAAAGAATAAAAAGTCAACAAATAAATGACTTAACACTACATCTCAAAGCCATAGAAAAAGAACAAATCAAACCCAAAGCATAGAAGGCAGGAAATAATTAAAATCAGCTGAAATTAATGAAATTGAAACAATTGGAAAAAATGACAAAAAGATAAATAAAATAGATAAACCCTGTGCCATGCTAACAAAGAGAAAAAGAAAAATTACTAAAATACAAGATGAAGAAGGAAATATCACAATGGACATGTCTGAAATACAGAAGATAATTAGAAACTATTTAGAAAATTTTTACTCTACTAAAATAGAAAATATTGAAGACATCAACAAATTTCTAGAGGCATCTGACCAACCCAAACTGAATGAAGAAGTCACATATGCTTTAAACAGGTCAATTTCAAATACTGAAATAGAAAATGCCATCAAAATCCTACTAACCAAGAAAAGCTCAGGACCAGATGGATTCTCACCGAGTTCTACAAGATTTTCAAAGAAGAATTAACACCAATACTCAAAAGTATTCCAGGAAATAGAAAATGAATGAACCCTTCCAAACTCATTCTGAGGCTGATATCACCCTGATACCAAAACCAGACAAAGACACATCAAGGAAAGAAAACTTCAGACCAATATGTCTAATGAACATAGATGCAAAAATTCTCAACAAAATTCTAGCAAATCAAATACAAAAACATCAAAAAGAAGTTTCTGTTGGGAAAGGATCTGGGATTATAACCTACATAAAAGCTAATAAGAATAGTTTCAGGTCAGTAGGAAAAAGGATATTCCTGGTGGAAAACCAATGTGTGTACACACTCGTAATGGTAAAAATTTAACCCTAGGCCTTTCTTAGGCAAGCATCCAAGCACTGAGCTACCTCCTCAGCCCCTTTTTCTTTTTTTTTTTTTTAAATAAGGTACTGGGGATTGAAACCAGACGCCCTTTACATTGAGCTACATCCCCAGTCCTTTTACTTCTTTATTTTGAGATTGAGTCT